ATAAAGTAAAACAGGAAAGGTTCGTCTCACTCATACTAACCTATTGTTCCGTCACCTACCACAGGTTGTTAGGTAATTCGTAATGTGCTATAAGGCTTACCAACCCTATCTTGTACTATCCACTACCCTTCCAATCCTTGGCTTAGGAGCTCTAGCTTTTTAATCTATCTTATAAACTTCATGACATCTGGGGAAATGGAAGGACGCCCAGAAGACCACATTTAGTAGCATTCGATGAACCCAAAGGCCAGGGCGATCTTCAACTACTACTCGCAGTTAGAAGCTCAGAGCAGTAACCTCGGGAAGCTCTTCTTGCTAGCAGCGCTTTGGAGGTTCTTGCAGATATTCTATAGAAAGATAACTCCATATTTATTCTTCTTGCCATGAGGTGTGCTAATGAAATTTCCGTCGATCGCTGACCGCATTCCCTTGCACAGGGATGAAGCAGTGAGCGTCAAACGTGCTCGCGACTAATCAGTTGTAACAGTTGTTGTAGTTGTTTGTTGATCCATTGACGGTATAGTGCTCATAAGAATCAAAGTTGCGTGGTTTGATGACAGGGATACGCATTACGTCGCGGAAAATTGCGTACGACCTTTGTGGGAATAGGCGCACTTCAAAAAAGCTATGAGATAATACTTTTGACTCCGATCACTTCGCATTCGTGGTGCGCTACGCATCCATAGTCCATTCAGAATCGTAGTAGGTTCATATTCATTGTGGATTAACAACACGGAGTGGGTAGAGTGGCAAAAGACTCGCTTACCACGAGCGCGGTTCGAGGGTCATACTGTTTCCGCCCAAGGCAACCAGGCTTTCTTTTCTCCAACTTTTCAACATAGGTGTCATTAAGGATGAAATACACTGAACTGTACATCGGATGGCACCCGTCAGTCATTGTATAAGTTTTATCAATATACGACTGAGCTACTGAATGAAAGCAGAACACGTGCCGCATCCCAAACATGGACAGCTCGGCTGAGAAAGTTTCATCCCTTTCCTACTATGGATCATGCAATGATCGGCGGTGCCTCGCGTTTTGAAAGGTCAGCGTTTCATCGTTCAATATGATAGTGTCTTTGATATATCGTTTCAAGCAGAATTATGGACTTCTTGACCCAGGTGAAGCCGATCCGAGATCCTACGGCACTACTAGCGGGACTGGAAAGTTGTGACCTTTTGGTCACAAAAGCTCACGTCGTTGACAACACTTGACTGAAATCGACACTTCATAATTCTACCCTTTAAATCATGGCCTCTGTTTAAAAATATTGGTGTAATTCATCGGAAATGTTTTGCGAGTAGGAGCCGTGAAAAGCACGGAAGGTAAACGCTTACCTGGATAAGCCGTTCGACGACTCCGACATATCCCTTTGCCGCAGCGTCATGGAGCAGATACTTGTCTTTTCTGTAATGAAATGGTAAACAAAGTGAATTTTCTAGAACGGAGCTCCTCGTGCTCGCGAGACAGTTTTGCAAAAGTTATTTCGCTCGGAGTGACAGGCTGAATGAACTGCTTCAACCCTTGTTTCTTAGGAATTTGTGGAATCAACTTTGAAGGAGCCCTGAGCGCTTGACGACCAACTTCACTCAACTCTTCGAATGTAAAACTCGTGAAACTTTTAGGGACGTTCATGAAAAAAAAACTATGGCAAAAATGAACAATTGCGAGGTTGTCCGAACAACTAAAGTCTTCCAGGACCAGATCGATTCTCCGGTATCCTAGGAACTCGCTGTGATCAACCCTAAAAACTACACAGCAGCTCCAAGCTCAATCCAAACTGTAGGCCGTGTTGAGCTTGACTGCGATGGCGGGTGGCTTCACTTTGCTGCGACAGAGCAAGCAGTGGTGGAGGGCTTGCTCTTGAGAAACATTAAAGGAATATTTCAGAGGGTGTCTTCTTTCCACCTTGCCGCCTGTACAGTGTATACCTTGATGATGGGAAGTGGGAAAGCGTCTTCTTCCTAGCCCCTGTACCCTTGCTAATATTTGTGACCAGTGGGAGCGGTGCTAGGAGGGGCGGAACGAGTTTGCCCGGGTCCTTTTTCCACCATAGTGATTGGTTAGTGAACACAACACCGCCTACTAACTGCGGTAATAGAACGCCCTTAGGCTGCGTTTATACTTTGCGGCAGCGTAGCGTAGCGCTTCCAGCGTACGCCAGCGGCAGTGCCGGGGAGAGGATGCATATCGATCTAGCGTTCCCAGCGTCACCAGCGTTTCTCCAGCGTTTCACCAGCGTTTTGCTAGCGTTTGCAGCGGCAGGGAGTAGAGACTATGGGAGAGCTGGAGGGTACAAAACACATCGATTGCGCGTCTCTCACTCGCCCTCAGTCTCTACAATACACATCGATTCTGCGTCTCTGACGGCCACATAGTCTCTACAATACACAACGATTGCGCGTCTCTTACGGCCACATAGTCCTCTTACTCACCGCAAAGTATAAACGCCGCCTTACTTGGCCCATTATCTCCCCCCTGAAGTAACACCGTAATGCAACTTGCTTTCCCTACATATGCTTGAAGCTGAAATTCTGTAGATGCAGTTGTCACTCACTCATCCAGACCTAATCCGTTCTTCAGTTGCAGTATCGTGGACACGGTATCGGGGTGATTGCCATCGACGGCCATCCTCAGCGGAGTCTTCCCTTCATTATTACTCATCCATAGCATTCTTTGACCGGTCTGTCCTCCTGAAAACTTTATAAGCCACAGTTTTTTTCATATTTCATTATAACTTCATCTTTATGACTTTATGACTGTTCTTGCCACAGTTCGCGAGTCTATATGTAAAGGGATTTGAAGTTATAGATGAAACTGTAGGCCTTGAGTGAGGCGGGATTCAGGGCGCAGTCTGTCGACGGGGGGCATTTTGCTTTCCATAGATGTGTCGACCCCTAGAGCCGTTTCTCGAGGTTGACACGTTTTTGGGGATAGTGGCTAGATGTCAGCTTCACAAGAGTTCACAAGTTTTACCAGAGTGAGATTTGTAAACCGGAACTAGGGAAGCAATGATAGTACAAAATGCCCCCCGTCGACAAACAGCGCCGGGATTCGAAGTTACTCGTCACACGTTCGATTGATGACTAGCCATAGAGGACACGTAGAGAAATTGAGAAAACGATTGGGGTCTTTTTATAAATGCGATGCTCGAGAAAGATGAGCGCAATCTTGTGTCTCGCAGAGTAACAACGTTTTTTCATTACTTCAATAATTATCTGAGCTACACTTTTGAAGCTTCATATAAGACAAAAAATCTGAGGATTTATGCCGCTATCTTCGATGCTTTTCCGAACAATTGGTTCAGCTCTAACTTACAATTAGTGATTTTCCCATCGTACTGCATCGTACTTGCTGCTTCCCAACTATACTATGGTTGGTAGGGAGTAAATCGCGGAGCTTTTCGAGCCTTCAGATTGCCCATGGTCATATTATGCGCCCTGTTCCTAATTTTTGAGAGGTTCCACTGATTCTGTAGAGGTCCCCCATCTTTTTTAGGGGTTCCCCATTTTTATCATGGAACTTGGAAATGGCACCTAACAGAACCTACCGTGTTGGAGCAGCAACTTCAGGGTGTCACTTCGTCCATGATGAGCAGCTATGTGATACACGGAGTTCATTCGTTTGTCAGTTCCCGAGGTGTCAGCTCCGTTAGATAGAAGCGTTTGAATGATTTCATCATATCCATGGACGCACGCAGTCAGCAATGGAGTTGTTCCCTTTATCGTTTTAGCCTGAATAAAACCGAAACATCTATGTAACTGAATTCATGGAATGGCCAACATTGAAGCATCTGAGAAGACAGAAATAAGCAGAGACAGCAGATTGGAAATTCACCAGTATTTGAGATCAGAATATATGAAGCTCGGTGGTACAACAAGACACTGCAGAGCCTCGTTTTTTGCGCATTCAGCACACTCCAAAACACCGCCACACTATTCTAATGGACCCGGCCGCGATTGCTTTCGATATGGGTCATATTGCTCGTGTTCGTAACAGGAGATATAATTATTTTTTCGGTAGAAAAATGAATGAACCAGGCGACTTTGGGGTGAGAGCCGAGTACTTTTCTCTGCTCTCCTCCACTTGTACTATCCTCATCATTGGCGACTGTCGGGGCGGTGAGCCGCCTGGCACTGTGACGTGAGCAAGGCGGCTTGCTGCTGCGTTAATGTGAATGCAGCTGCATTTAACGGAATTCGGCTGCGAATTTCAACTTTTTCAGCTTCTGATGAAGGTGAATTATTTTGAACGATTTTCAGTTGTCCTGGCTCTAATTTCCTTTATTTTTATGTCTATTATTATGCTCTTTTCCATGTATCTTGTGTTATTTCAGGCATTTATTCAAATGGGTTTGCATTCCTCTCAGATTCATTCAGAAGCCAAGTAACTTTAAGTTCATTCAAAATTACTCGCCTTACACTTTCGAAGCTTGAAGAGCTGAAAAAGTGGGAATTCGCAGCCGAATTCCATGGAAATCAGCTGATTCGCCGTCACCGAGCCGCAGCCGCTGTCGCGTCACAGTGCAGCGCGGCTCAGCCGCCCCGACAGTCCGCAATGATGAGGACTGTACACAAGAAGCAGACCCGTGGACACGCAACACGCCGCACGGCCAAGATTCCTAACCATGGCTACACTTATTATTTGTGTGCACCCTCAGTGGTACTGTGGCGAAGAGCTGGCAGCATGCCAGCAACATGTGACGTGCGACGATTCATCAGATACACAAGGAACATCCCTCTTTCCTAACTATTCTGAGCGCATCGTAACCTTTTGAGCGTTAACGTTGCCGATGCTAGGACAATAGACAGAAATCGCTGTGGCTTTTTTGGTTTCTCCTTTTACATTTTACAGACGGTCATTTTGTACTTTATTATAGCTGGGTACACCTTTTTCGCATATTATGTTACCGATGCCCACTTACGTTCACATCTGCACCGTGCTTGATGAGAGCCTTAACGGCAGGTTCGTTCCCCTTCATGGCTCCGTGGTGAAGCGGTGTCATTCCGTAGGAGTCTCTCGCATTGACATCCCTATGAATACACTACTTTCGAAGGTAAGGAAATACCATAATGGGTGACGAACTCACGCTCCACGTCCCACAAGAAGGTTTATGATAGCTGTCGTTACGTCGGCTGTCATGTGCCGAGAAGTGCTATGAGCGGAAGCGTCAATGAATTGCGACACGGATGACCCTGAAAGTATTGGGATATTTATAGCTGTAGCACCACTTGATTATTAAAGCCTCAAAACTTTAATTTCTTCACGGGCTTTTCTCTTTTTCTTCCCATAAAGCGTTTTCAAGAGCGGTCATTCTGGGTCTTGATGGCGTAAATGACATTCACTTTTAGTGCCGGCGCCACGAACATTTTCATCAAAACCGTTATCTTCTCACAAACAGTGGTATAGTTCTTGCAGACGCTGGGATAAGACTATAAGTTCAGAAAGGTGTGTTTACAGTACGTCCCAAAATTGCGCGTATAATTAAATATGTCGGGCCGTGAACGCACACAATTGGGCGCTCTGTAGGACTGAACCAGGAGTTTTGGCCAGGGCACATCGTTGTTGGGGAATCCCCAATAGGGGGGTCGTATTTGGCCGCCAGGAGAGGGGGGTCGTTTGGGCTGGAAAAATTTATTTTGATAGTTGATTTTTCTCGCTTCATGGACGTTGTAAAAAAAGGGGGGGGTCGTATTTACGTTTTGGCGTTGTAACGCCCCCTCCCCCCCCCCCCCCCATGCGCCCGCTCGACGGCCTCGGCTCGATTCGCATGAGGAGGAACAGAGGGCGGGGGGGGGGTTGTACCAACCCCCAAAAAGGGAGAGGGGGTCGTACAGACTCGACTAAAATCCCCAACCAATAATGTGCCCTGGTTTTGGGAGGACGCGTGGAATAGTTTTTGGTAGGGTACCCAGAGCTACGCTTGCGGGCGCCTAGGCGGTACTAGGATCGCTCCCGGGTGGCAGCCCACACCGACAACAATTGGTGAAAACGGTCCAGCGCCGCGCCGGGCCCTGCCCTGCCCCGTCCTTGTGTAGTCGAGAGACTTGGTCGTGTATACAGTTTATATTACAGCGACCTGTCGGGTCGCAATCAGCAGTTTCCACCTCCGGCCTTCCCACCAATGGCTGATTCCTTCCTACATCGATCATTGCTTGATCACCATTGGTGGAGCAAGGCAGCTCGTGCCGCGCTGCGCTCGCCGCCCCCGACAAAGGGTATGTGACAAGAGAATCCTAATTCACCGCGCTGGTGGGCGACGCGTGCGACGTCGCGCCCGCAAATGACGATGGTTCCCGTAGTAGATGGGCGACAACAACACGCAAATCAGAGCCGAAAATAGTATGACTACAATGACGGGGTCTACATGAAGTCCGGTGCTCCATTCGACAGGTTAACACGAGTAAGCGCCGCGCCCATCGCCACGCCCGGCGGAACGGCAAATTGCGATTCTCTTGCCCGTCTCCCCCGACACATGGCAATGTTACAAACTATAATGCTGATCGTTTTCGGCGCTGGGATTAACAATGAGTGCCATATTTGTATGAAGCATCATCAAAGAACCAAGAAGAGAAACGTTTTCCAAGAAGGTGCGGATTAGGGCAATAATAGTTGGAAAGCTTGAATCTGACTCGATTCGTGACCGACTTTCTGTTGGAACGGCATAGAAAGCGACTAGGACGGCAGTACTTGCAGTTGACGTGCAACGCAGACGTGAACTGATTCGTGTCCAACTACATCAACTGTTGCTCCTCTGTTTAGCAACAGCTCGACAGCTTTCACATGACCATATTTAGCTGCATAGTGGAGAGCTGTGAACTGAAAGAAGGGGAAGTGAGAATCAAAAGAATTGGTATAATATTCAAGAAAACCTTTAACAGGTGAATGACAGGTATTGAATGACAAATGAATAACATGGAGAATTCTCGGAAGGCCTGGGCGGAGAACCGAAGCTCTTTAGATACCTATCTCTCTGATCTAGAGAGGTGTGTAAAATGCGAAAGCGCAGTTGTAAGCCCAAAAAAGTAGGCCTACCCCGTCAGTATCAGAGGCGTTCACGAGGTCGGGACGACGGGAAATGAGGCTTTGCATCGCTTCCACATTACCGTCCCGCGCACTCTGAAAAAAAAACAGTGACGGTCAGTCACACAGAATTTGTTGAGGGAAACCAAACTCACCCGATGAAGCAAAGAGGTGAAGTTGCTGTCCAGTTCATCACTACCTCTGTCCGGTTCAACTTCTACCTTTACCGACTCCGAAGACGAGGAAGAAGCTGAATGGAACATGATGTATCAAACGCAATGAGAAACATTGCACCATGAACATTTATCCCGTAAAGAGTTTTCTTAGCAAGCAAAAGGGCAATACAATTGGTCAAAATCTGACCTAGGGGATAAGAGGCAGGAGGTCCTCAGTAAAGCCTCTCAAAGCCAGATATTTCGCCTTTCAATAACGTAAGCAGAGTTGCCATCTCTCCAGCACTTACTGCGGCGCTTAACGCCTATTCCTGGATAAGTTCCTATACAGGAAATCCAAAGGGTGGTTTCAAGTGCCCATAGAATTTTTAAAGGTGACCTATAGTTTCGATCGCTACGGATGCTGGGGCGTGTCAAGAGGGTGAGTTTTTCCCAGCAGTCTGTTCTCCATACGTTATTGGAGAGGGAAAGCGACAGAATCTGGTGGAAATCGGGCTGATGCTGCGCCACTCCAGCTGTCCTGACATAACCCAGCGAGCACGACTGCATGTATACTGATAGGGTTCGAAATACTGACTATAAATGTGTCAAACAAATTTGTTACCTGCATTTTAGGGGAGCTATGAGTCTTCAAAATTTGGAATGGTGCAATGGTCTGATGACACTTAAACGAATTCTAACATCCTACTTCTGGAATCTTATTCTTGAGAACCATTTGATCTCTCTGTAACTGAGCCATCATTATCTGCCTACCGCAAAAGCGCTGGTGGCCCAAGCTACTGGCACCCAAGGTACAAACGTCGGCGAATTTTGTGATTTTGACGGCCAATAACTCGCCTAGAAGGTTCAGGCATGGCATTTATGATTCCCTATACACTTCGTCACAGCATCTCCGAGCCCATCGATGTAAATTAAAGGCAAGCCCGCCCCGCCCCGCACAACCACAGCATTGTGGCGGCTATCGCGAACCCAATTAGGAAACGAAGAAAGGCTGGTATCTGATTAGCGGAGAAAAGCAGCGGAAAAACAGCCGAGAATGCCCTAAATAGGATTCCATATCGACCCCAACTTGTACATGCATGCAATGAAGAAAACGCATGTTTGTACGAGCCACTCGTCGTTATCATAAAGATATCAGCTCTTTTATCTTATCACCTCACTCTCACCATTCGGAATGGAGAGAGATAGTATAGTGGCTACTAGCTAGTAGCTAGCAGCCGGTGGGGGTCGGCATGGGCCTAAGGGGCGCCAATGGGCCTAATTGGTTAGCTTAAAGCGGAATTCTCACCGATTTTCACTTTTCAAAGGTAGCAGTTCCGCATCTCCTCCAGCGGATCGTCTGACGCATTTGGAAAGGTCATAGCTTATTTTGTATCGGAAAGTGCCTTTAAGTCTCCATTGAAGGCGCGTCACTTGATGCTCGGGCGCCTTCTCTGGATATGGCAACCCTCCCTGCAAGGATGGGGAATGTACCAGTGTCACGCAGCGCGAACATCATCCTTATCTTCTGAAAAGGAGTAGCGTGCCCTTTGTCAGCATGGACATAGGCGAGGTTTTCTTGATGGGATACTCCAATTTTGAACAACTGCCATTTTTTTTCTGTGTTAGATTGGCATGATTATGCTGTTCCGAAATGAAAATATACTCACGAAGACTTGGGCGCGCCCTTCAAAATTTAGAGTACAGCACGCCTACCGCGGCTCAGGGAATTTCGAGTGTTATACCTAAGAGAAGCCCGCTCGCTAGGAGAACGGCCCCGTCCACTGGCCACAGCGACGCCTAGCTTTCATTGTTTACTGCTACCTGATGGTTTTTACCGCTACCAACCCTCTTCATTTAGGGGAGTAAGCGTTAGTTAAGCTGGCCACAATGAAAATTGTGATAATCCATCCATCACGTCTCGTTGTTCCGTATTATGCATGTGCAAGGGTCATTACGCATGGAATCTACATAGAGCATATCCGGCGGGTCTCTTCTGCTTTTTTTTCGCAGCTGGAACCTTACTACCTTTGTCTCAATTAGAACCCTGTGCCGCACAACATCTCACTGTTAAACCCTGGGCGTGCCTTCAAAAGTTCCATGCGATGCTGAAACTATTTCCTGCTTAGTTCTCAGGATGAACGTACTTTTCAGATAAATCAAATAGGGATAGCGGATCATGCATAGCGGCAGTATAAGTTACCTGCAACTCAAAATCACTTTACCGACTGGTTGCCAGACAGAAAAAGCAATTGGGCCATCCAAGTGTGCAAGGGGAGCAAAAAAAAAAGCCATTCGACCGAGTCAACATATCAGCCAAAGTTTTTGCAGCCCAATCAAAGGGCTTTTGCATGGCGAGTACCATGGACGACGATACCAAGGGAATGTTCCTGCACATATGTAGGTTGGAGCAGGCTCTCGTCCTACATTCATGTATACCAGTATGCGAAGCCAATCATCCAATCGCCGCCAAAGTGAAGAAGGTCTTAAAAATTTACGTCACCTCCAAACAGCTGCGAAACTTCTTGTATAGAGGCACCCATGGACAGCTACCTGGTGACCGGCACTCTGATCTGCAAGACCTCCAACATCGAGCAGCTCTGAACAACGTCTCTATGTGGTCTGGACTTCATCTTCCCTCAGTTCGCTCAAGGCGGGGCCGTTCGATGCGTTATGGAATGGAAAGAGATATTTTCTTCGTGTGGGACCCGACTGAGAATGTGAGCGCTGGAGTGATCACATCGAGCACCTCGGGGAGAATAGTCCACCTTCATGTCGTCGCCCGTACCTTCTTGGAAACTTTGTACTGCTACAGGACTGGGTGACACGTACTCACGCCTACTTGGAAAGGAAGGGCATTGAGTACCTGAGGAACATGGAATATCTAAGCAGGTCATCTGATGATGTCTCCTCGAATTACTTGGTGAAAGGGGCCGAAGTTCAATGGATGGCACTACACTGGCCGGAGAAATCACTATCTGCGCTGATCTCAGGTACTGATAACACGTGCCGCGTGCGCAGAAATCTCTCTTGGCGCTCGTCAGTAGGACTGTGGCGCAGTATCATGGATAGTGTTCAATATGCTGTATGATAGGGTGCGAATATGGAAGGATTGGATCCAAGGTAGAGAGGCAAAGCGACGCCGAGCGCGTAGGAACGGCCTACGTATCAAGAAGTGAATAGAATAAAGTGTCTGGAGATTGATCGGCTCTACGCACGGTAATGTGCAAGGAGAGCAAGTGTGATCGTTTCTGATGTGTGTCTCGGCAAGTCGGAGCTCCTCCATCTCAGCCGTGGCTGACTGAGACGGTGGACGGGTGTAGCAGAGCTATTTTTGATGAGGAGGCCGAGAAAGAAGAGAAGGTAAACGAAAGGTTTATGGAGCTGCGCATATGGACTCATTTTCCAGTTCCATTCCTGGGTCGGAATGAGATTATGCGTTTGCCGGGGTTAGATCGATCTATGAGGCCGCTGCGTTTAGGCACCCGGTTCGCACAGGACTAAATTGAAAATTGTCTTCGATACGTCATAATCAGAAGCTGATCGCTGGTTCATTTTTTGTTCTCGTCTCAGGTTTAGGTCGTTGTTATTAGTTAAGGGGCGCATCGCACCCTTGATTCGAGACAACATGAGTCGTGCCCACATCACACAACGAAATGGACGATACGTCAACTTTCATCCAAGAAATACACAACTTCTCACCCTTGCGGAAGTAACCTTATCGGTTTGGTTTGATTAGTCTAGCTCATGGTGGTTAAGGACCGACTGGATGCTCGCGGTATTGTCCCGTCTGCTCTTTGGCGTGTGCTACCATTGATCCTTTTTAGAATGTAGCAGCGAGGAATATCTGAATATATGATATGTGCGGGTTTTCATCTAGGTTGTTTTTTCATAGTAGTCTGACGAAACAACTGGAATGTCTCGATCTTTTGTGGGTAGTGCGTTGAGCATACTGAATATAAAGTGTGCTCTCTCTCGCGGGTGTTCATCAGTTCTTCAGCACGTGCGGTTATCACACGTGAATTATCCTCGCTAGAAAATTACCGCGTCTTACAGTCTAAAAGAATCGGGAACGATTTCGTTCTTAAAGTGGGTGGTTGTTACTCAGTCCTCTGCTGTATGAGAAATAGTCGAGTTATTTTCATTAGTTGAGAGTTTAGTAACTTTCGTTGTATTTCTTTCCATATGCTCTGCAATTTGTTTATGGGGGATTTTCTTGCTTTAGGAATAATTATTGCTTCGAACTTAGATTACATCCTTGCACTATGCTTGATAATCGCGTGACACACCGATGAGTTTGCAGTTATACTCGAAATCCCTAAGATCGGGTAGGCGTGGCTGCGTACTTGATTTTAAAATGGCGGCGGCCCAGGTTTTCGTGAGATATTGTCATTTTGGAGCAGTCGTAGTCATGTCTACATCTAACACAGAACAACGTACTTGTTTCAAACTGGAAGTATCGTGAGAACCAGTACTGTTGCCGGTGCCTCAGAAGGCCACGGCCTATCTCCGTCTCAGGGATTAGGAGTGTAATACAATCAAAGCCTTTGTAGGAGGATCTGTTTGAACGCGTGTTCTTGAGACTTAGGGGAATATATTCTATCTTCTCTTCTAGTCTCTACGCTCTCGGTCTAGTCACTCGTCTCCTCAGTTAAACTATAATGCAACCGAACATTGTGTTGATTTCTGAATAAAAAAAAGTCGAAAGCTGCTTATGTGGACCGAAGTAATCGGATTACTTCGACATATCAATTCCCGTTTGTTAGAGGGTGAACCGTAGGAGCAGCTCATCACGACGCTTTCTAGCTTCTAACAGTTTCACTGGACTTCTCAGGCGTGCCCCTTGAAGATTTGAAGACACACTCCGCGATTGCAAGTTGTGGGTAAGTCGGTCTACATATGGATGTATAGGCGCTATTCCTCTTATTAATAAGAAAACATCAAATAATGCCGTGCAAAACGACACAATTATGGCGGGCCTTTTAGTAGCTGATTTTCAGCAGCGGATGAGGAGGCGAGAGGCGAACTGGGAGAGCCAATGGGAGGTGTCTGAGACAAAAATTATAGAGTCAAAAACGAACCTACAGAAATGGTAAAACCCCTGCGATTGC